CCCTGGCCATGGGGTGTCAGATGCTATCTATATTTAGAGGAAATACGATATTTAAAGAAGTTGTGCGTTTAAACAACATTATTCACCATTAAACTCATTTTAATTGGGCTCTAACAAGGAATATTGATGACTCTGAACAAATCTGAATAAACAGTAGAAAACAGCGGCTCCTTTAGAAGTGCCCTGGTTGCGGAGTGGTCTGACGTTACTGGGGCGGACGCTGTGGCTGCTGGTTGACGTCACAAACCTGACCGTACGCCATGAACGTCCCAGCAGTAGTGACGACCTCGTAGGCGCCAGGATGCAATGGCGACTCTCTGAGTTCCAGGACTTCAGTCCCTGCCGGCACGCTGATGTGAACGGCCTGGGCGCCATTAGGTGGCAGAGTTGCCGGTGCCTTCCGTGCTAAAAATGTAAGGAATAAAATACCATTTCACTCCGTTGCATCATAGGTAGCTTCATGCAACAGTAAAAAGGACACATACCGTTTCCGTGTACCGGTGGCGCATTCGACACTGTTCCAAAAGTAGCTGGGTGGCTTGAAGATTGCTGCCCATGGGCAGCGCCCGAGGGAGGAAGGAAATGGGCGGCCTGGCTGGCCGCAGCTGAAAAATATACTATACCTCGTTTTCTCAGCAGACCCCGGGGCACGAAGAGTGGGGTGGGATACACGTGACTGATATTTCCAATACTAGTCACATCATGTGATTTTCTCCCCGTGAGACTTTTCTGGGCCTTTCGAATGTACATAGTTCAGCTACCTGAGAATTTGGGTGGGATGGACGACCTAGGGGGAGGGCTGTTTGAAGGTAGTATGGAGACCCCTGTCATCCGGTGCGCGTATGATCTGGACTAGGAAGTAGCCTGTCGGGCAGTACGGCAGTGAATCTCACCATTCGTTGTTGGCTTTTTCTGCTGGCTCGTGGACTGGGGATCGGCCAAGGAAGCTAACACTTCGTCGAGCTCTTGCTCCGACATCGAGAAGAAGTCACTGGCGTCGGTTCCAAGCTGTGGCGGCTGCGCGGCGTAGGTCTAAAAAAGATTAGTACGTCAGTGCTTGTCTTCATTCTAACAGTCGATGGCCGGTTGCGCTAAAACCTAGAGTTGTTGGACGTGAAGCGGAACGGGTCTGTTCCACGATCCATGCCGTATTGAGAACGGAACGGCGCGGGCAGAGGGTTCAGGAGGGGCCGTTTTCCGTTCCATTCTACCAAGGGACGGAGCACGGAACGGATTGAAAAATAATGCCGTTCCGTGAAGTTTTAGTCGAGAACGGGACCGAAGACGGCTGTTTTTAATGCCGTTCCGTGCTTGGGCCGTGCTGGCACGGCACGGAGCCCGGCACGGGGGGGGGTCTAGGACGAAACGGATGATGGCACGGCTGGGTAGGGCCAGGACGGAACGGTGCCGCCGGAACGGCGGCGGCGACGATCTCCTCCAAGTTGCGGTGACAACCAACGTCGTCGCGGGTGCCGCTGGACAACAGAATGACGGACGCAGCGAACGGCTCGCCCCGACTGGCAGAACGATCGTCAACCGTCGCACGGACCGCAGGACTACCCGTTCAAGCCTGCCTCCACGCCAGCCGGGTCGACTCCGGACTGGTGGCGACATCTCTCTTCGCACTGTCCGCCCGGGCTAGCACCCCTGGCGGATGAAACAATCCCGCTCTCTACAACCAAACCGAGTGCCCCATCGGCGTGAGGCATGCTACAAGTGGCGGCTCGGCGGCTACGTCGCGGAGGCATGCCGAGGGCATAGACGACCAAACGTCGAGTATCATGGAGCCGCCGCCCCCGGACCGATCACAATATCTCCTCCGACCAACGCGAAAACAGGACACAACGATCAACGTGGTGACGCTCAACTGCCGGACACTGCGCAGCGCAGCACAGAAGAACCAGCTAGCGCGGACGCTCAACGACCTCAACGCGTCCTTTGGATGCCTGCAGGAGACACGCATCACCAGCGACGACATGCAGTTCGAAGATTCCGTGCCGCCGCCCAACTTCACCTCCAACCACCACCCGCGAGGGTATAAGTTGTACGCCAGCAGCGCGGATGACGGCAACGCCGGTTGCGCAGTAGCGGTTCGAAGCGACCTCGACGGGCTCGTGCACAGCTGGAGGGCCGTCTCCAGCCGACTTGTTTACGTCCACATCAAAGAGGCAGCCCAGCCAACATGGATCCTGAGCGCCTACGCACCGCACAACGACCGCTCGGAAGAGGAGAAAGATGCGTACTACGAGCAGCTCGACACAGTGCTCAGAAGCATCCCACGAAGCCACCTCGTGCTCATCGGGACGGACGCAAACGCACAATTCGGGGCATCTGAATGCAGCCCAAGCCTCGGCAGATGGTACTTCCCGGCTGTCGAAACATCCGACAACGGCACGCGAATCCTGTCACTTGCCGAGGAGCACGACTTGATGCTGGCGAGCACGCTGAAGCGGAACCGTCTCAGGGAACGCGTGACGCACGACAACGTCGAGCGCATATCCCGGGAACTGAAGCGGAGACTACGCGCAGACCACCACGTCAGCCAGCTGGACTACATTCTCATCCGTACGAAGTGGGCCACTGACGTCGTAAAGGGCGGAAGCATACCTAACACGCCTTTCGATTCGGACCATCGGCCAGTACGCGTCCAAATCCGCCTCCGGTACAAACCACCAAAGCAGTGCTGGCAGAAACGGTACGCAGTGCAGCAGCTGCAGAACGCTAATCCGTCAGCGCTACCAGTCGGAAGTCCTCATCCAACTCGAGCCCACGGAACGCCGCCGTGCGATTGCCGCACCTACCCTGAGCGACATCACGAAGGCCATGGTAGCTGCCCGAAACTCAACCGTGCCTGAAGTCCGCCCGCAAAAGAAGAAGGCGCTTCTAAGCGCCCAAGCCGAACACCTTGCAGCACAGCTGGCAGTGGCAAAGCGGAATAAGGCAGAGGACGTGAAGCGACTGCGCAACTGCTCCGAAATCGGCTAAAGAAAGACCGCGAAGACATCTGGGAGCAAAGAATAGCGGAAATGGACGAAGCATGGCGCACGGGCAACTCGCGGAAAGTCTACACAATGCTGCGGCTCTACAGCGGAAGGCTAAAGGCAGCGCCGAGCACGCTCCAGGAAGACGGCCGAAGCGTCGCCAACCAGCACTGCCTCTCCGTCTGGCGCCGACACTTCCAAGAACTCCTCAACAGGCCGCCACCGGACGGCCCGGAATTCGTGCCACCGTTCAAGCCGGAGTACGCCGTCAGCAGCGACCCACCAGACGTGGAAGAGGTCAGGCGAGCACTCGCAAAGCTGCGGAACAACAAGGCGGCCGGCCCTGATGACGTCCAGCCAGAGCTCCTAAAGGCACTACCAGATGCGGCAGAGCGACAGTACACGGAAGCGCTACGGCAGTTATGGGAACGCGAGCAGATACCGGACGAGTGGCGCCGCGCAATCGTCATCCCGCTGCACAAGAAGGGCTGCGTCACCGACCCGTCCAACTACCGTGGCATCTCCTTACTCAGTGCCCAGTACAAGCTGCTAGAGCGGATCATCGCTGACCGAATCCTGGCAGAGAGGGACAGCAGCATGCGCGACGAGCAGGCCGGATTCCGTCCCGGACGTAGCACCACGGATCAGATCCTCATCCTGCGAAGGATCATTGAGACACGCAGCCGCTTCGCACAGCCGTTTCACATCGCATTCCTGGATTTCGCATGCGCTTTTGATTCGCCGGATCGCAGCCGCATCTACAAGCTATTAACGGCAGACGGCGTCCCCGATAAGATCGTCCGGCTGATCCGAGACATGAACACCGACTCCGACGCTGTCGTTCGCACACGCGCTGGAACCAGCGAGCCCTTCGCCGTAGCCACGGGCGTCCGCCAAGGGAGCGTCTTGGGGCCGATGCTCTTCAACTACGTCATCGACGCTGTGCTCGACGAAGCCGTGATGGAATTTAACGGCGGCTTCAAGCTCATCCCATCTGACCGGGTGATCACAGACCTCGAGTACGCGGACGACATCGCGCTGATTTCGAACAGCCGAGACGAGCTGCAACAACTTCTCAACCGCGTCGACACGCTCGGACGATGCTTTGGACTCCGGCTGAAACCACCAAAATGCGAGGTCGTCTCAACTGAGCCAGACTCCGACCCAATAACGGTCGCAGGAGAGCCGCTCAAAGAATCAGACCACTTCTGCTACCTGGGCTCAATCATCACACGCGACGGCAATGTGCGCCCGGACATTACCCAGCGCCTCAACAAGGCTCGCGCAGCCTTCGGAATGCTCCAACAGTGCCTTTGGTCAACATCCATATCGACGAAGATGAAGCTGCGCGTTTACGCCACGGCAATCAGGCCGATACTCCTCTACGCGGCAGAGACCTGGCAGATGACTCAGTACGAGCAGGAAGACCTCGACAAAGCAGAACGGCGATTCCTCCGCAAGATCCTCGGTGTCCGGCTCGCTAACAAGATTCCCAACGCCGAAATCTACGACCGAGTGAAGCCAGTGATCACCTGCAGGCTATCGGACTACGTCGCAGAGAGGCGCATGAGGCTGCTAGGACACCTGCTAAGACGGCCTTCGGAACGTCTCACTCGCCTCGCGCTGGAACACATGCCGGACAGCAGCTGGAGGCGGAAGCGCGGCGGACGGAAGAACACCTGGCCGGAGATGCTTAAAGACGACCTCAGAAAGCGAGGCTTTGGAAACCGGTTTCACGGCACCGACGCGAACCAAGCCTGGCAATCAAACGACCGATGGCTACGCGCCGTCACCTTATTCGCGGAAGACCGACCAACGTGGGATCAGTGCGTGAAGGAAGCGACCTCGATGCCGCGCCCCCCGACCTCGGGACCTTCATTAAGTCAAGTAAGTCAGGACGGAACGGGGGTGTACCCCCACAACTCTAGTAAAACCCACTTTATTTTCCGACATAGCCTGCTGGTCTGTTGAAGCGTCCATCGGCTTTGATGCAGGCTGATTGAAGCTGCCGACGGCGGGTATGTCCTGTTGCGGCTAAATACGTCTAAAGTGATCTTGCTACATTCTACAGACATACCGCGGCAGTGTTCGCGTACTGGCTCGTGTTTGTCACCGGAACTTGAGCCGCGATTCTGGGTGCAAGAGTCGGCGGAACTAGATTGTCGGACGCCTGCAAGACGCGGTTAGGAGCAGCGCTGTAGAACTGCTTCTGCTGCGGCTGCGCGTAGCTTCCCTAGAAACATATGCTCAGGTCGTACACCTGCAACTGAGTTATTTTTTTGTTATTTTTCTTAAATATAAATGAAGGAACACTTTGTTTCCGAAGCTAGGTCGGAGTAGGAAAGTCCGGAAAGATAAAATGATTAAACCGATTTTTTGGTAAAACCATGGAAATAATGCCATCAACTTTTGCATTCGAGCCCCTTGGTTTTGATCGCATGGCGAGTTTTGTTAATTATTTCCCTTCGGATTATGTTTAAGATAAAAAACTCTTCCAAAAATCGTCCCAGTCTGGCAGCATATGACCCTTGTTCGGATGCCGGTTGAGGGAAATCTTAATTTCAGGACTCACGGTCTTCTGCTGCAGGGACGAGTTACAGGCGGCGAGCTTCTGCAAACACATGGAGTCCGAAGCGTACTGGCTCTGATTGCGCATGCCGAGCGGCGTCGCAATAGGTGTATGAAACACCGAGGAATGGCTTCCAAAATGAGCGGACG